GAGGGGGCAGGGCTTGCGTAGGCCCCGCCCTCATGAATATGCATGAGCCCAGCGGGGAAGAAGGCTGCGGCGCCCCCCTGGGGAGGCTCCGGGAAGTGCAGGAGGGGAACCAGGCAGGCCAGGGGGAAAGGAAGGGGGTCGTCTCTTCACTGCAAAGGGGTGTCACTCTCCCCATTTTACAGATGGGAAGACTGAACCAGGCTGCAGTTAAGCAAGGAGCCCACAGTCCACCCCCATGTCCCAGTATCACCCACCAGATTCACTCTGAAGCCTGCTGGGGTAAGCCCAGGCAGAGCATGAGCCCAGAGCCTTGGGGCAGCACCGCCCCAGGGTGTGTCGAGTATGGCAGGGTCCTGTGCCTCCAACACCTGCTAGGAGCACCCAGCCAGCTGGCAGCTGGGAGAGGAGGCAGCCAGTCCCTACCTCCCCCCACCAGCTTCAGTTTCCAGCTCCGCCAGCCTGGTTACAGCAGGATTTTCCCTGCTGCAGCCTGGGGCCCAGGGAGGCCACCAGCAGGGAAGCGCAGCCAGGCTCACGGGGACGGCTAGGGCTCGGTACTTGAGTGGAGGAGGGAGAAGAGCAGCCCTGAGCACGGGACATCCCTGGGGAAGGGCTGCTGGGCTTTTGCTACACTGCTACCCCCCAGGCTGCATTACCTGTAGGAAGGTGGCAGTCCTGTGCCAGCCATGCCCAGCCCAGGCCCCTCAGGCCTGGGGACTCTGTGCCCTTCTGGGCCCCCTCCGCCTGCTCCAGCTCCAGTCGCCTGCTCCAGCTCCAGTCGCTCTCCCCAGCAGCTGTACTCCTGGTACAGGGAGCAACACACCCAGGACACACCAGGTGACTGCAGCCCCCAGCCCCACCTGGCTGCACCGTGCCACGAGGAAAGCAGGGAACTGCGGAGGAAGAGCACAGCCCTGGGGAAGCATGGAGGTTTATTGCAGCAGCACCAGAGCATGGCAGCATAGTGTCCGTGGCCCACTCCGCCCTACGTGCCGAACTTCTTCTGCTGGACGGGCGGGGGCAGCTGGGCCTGGATGTCCGTCAGGGGCCGCTCCACCACCACCAGGCAGTCCTCGTCCAGCAGATCCATGAACAGCAAGGGCTGCAGGGCAGCAAGAAGCACGGGGTCAGAGCGGCTCTGGGAGCACAGGAGCCCCTGAGACCCAGCTCATGGGTCTGCTGATGGGGAAATGGGGTGCGCGGCCCTGCCACAAGCACCTGCACTGCTGCGGCTGAACAGGGCAGCACCCCTGGAGAGGTCAAGCCGGTGCCCCGCACCCCACGCAGCCCCAGGGCACAGACCTGGTACTTCTTGCAGATCTTGAAGGCGTGAGCGTGGGTCCGGCGGGCCTTCTCCGAGAGCTGCTTGAGCAAGGCCTGGTTGTTCAGCGGGGTGTTGTCGTCGGGCAGGGGCTGGGGAGATGGAGGGGCTGAGGGTTCCTGATGTGGGGGACGCCGTGCCCACCCTCAGGCACCCTCCAGGGCTCTGTAGGAGCACAGCCAAGCACCCAGAGAGCCAAGCCCTCTGGGGAGCTGGCAGGGTGGGCTGGAGGAAGGCCGTTCCCCAGGAGCTGCGTGGTCCTGCCCCACGCAAGGGGACGAGCCTTGCGGTGCTCAGGTAGGCAGAGAGGCCTGTTCTGTGCCCAGCACTGCACTGAATCCTGCAGGCTTATGACCAGAGCACAACCCCCAAGAACCATTCCCACAGACAGTGACCCGCCCAAAGCACCGTTGTCCCAGCCACAACCAAGGATGTGGCCACAGGGCTCCTGGCCAGGGAGGCTGTAGGGGCCGGCCCCGGAGAACCACCTGCCCCCCAACCTCGCCCAGGCAGGCAGCAGGGCGCAGACTCACCAGGGACTTGTCCAGGATGCAGAGCATGTGCGTGTCGTGTAGGAGCAGCTGCGTGGGCTGCCGGGGGTTGAAGGCAATGTGGGCGATGGGCGTGTCCCGCTCCAGCCAGTCCCTGTGCAGCCCGTGCTGCTGCACCACCCGGCTCCAGGCTGTGTACTCGCACTCGGGGATGCTGAACTCGAAGAGCTGGGGGCCACAGGCAATGGGGTGAGTGCGGCTCCAGGTGCACAAACCCGCCAGGAGACCCCTGGGTCTCCCCCCACACCTGGCAGGGAGTGGAGGCTCGAGATGGCCTGGCCCTGGCTTGGCTTCATTCCTCTCCTGCTGCCACCACCCAGACAGGAGCAATCACAGCTGCCCCCCTCCCTGGCACAGCCCCGAACCACTCTGCACTGGCCAGTGTGGGACCTGGCACCCACTCAGGGGCTGGCATCAGACTCTGCCAGCTAGACCTGTCCCATCAGGGAAGTAGCTGGCACATCCCAGCTTCCCACTAGCACCAGTCCCCGACCACAGCCAGAGCCCAGCACCAGTGCATTGGGTGAGTTCCCAAGTGTTTCACAGATATTAGGGTCAGAAGGGACCTCAGCAGATCGTCGAGTCTGACCCCCTGCCCTGGGCAGGAAAGAGCGCTGGGGTCAGATGACGCCAGCCAGGTGCATGTCCAGCCTCCTCTTAAAGACCCGCAAGGTAGGGGAGAGCACCACCTCCCTTGGACACCCGTTCCAGATTCTGACAAGCCTTACTATAAAGAAGTTCTTCCTGATGTCTAACCTAAATCTGCTTTCTGCTAGTTTGTGGTTGCTATTTCTAGTTACTCCAAGGGGTGCTTTGGTAAACAGAGCATCTCCTATCCCTTGTTTCGTTCCCCCTGATTAATTTATAGACGGCCACAAGATCACCTCTCAGCCTTCTTTTGCAGAGGCTGAAGAGATTCAGAACCTGCCTCTGAGAATTTGGGCCAAGTCTCTTCTGCTGATTCATGTGGTTTGATGGACTGGAGAAGCTGACAGGCTCTAAGCCACCTGGGAACCCCATGGGAAATGTGTCCTCTTGTAAGGGGAGCCAAGGCTTCTCTGGAAGTGCAGCCTGCTGGATTCTGCTGTGGGCATCTGCACTAATGAGTACCACCAGGATCCAGACCTACAGGAGCTAGGAGGGTGGCAGAAATGCCAGACAAGTCTTCAGGACTGTCTGTGGAGCAGAGCAGCAGCTACGACTAAACCCACCGCAGAGCCGGGCAAGAGCAGGCTAGTATTTGTCAGAGCAGAAGGTCCTTAAGAGACACAGAGAATCTGTTTTGCTGGAAACTCTCTCAGGAGCTGTTGAAAGCATCTGCCTCTAGAAGGGATTTCAAGCA